CCAGATATTGCAGACATTTCTTGGGAAGCAGTCACTCCAGGTTGAGAATCACCAACTTGGGCTAGAACAAGTATTCAATTTTTTTCTTCAATTTGGGACAAATTTCATGCTAATAAGTCACATGCAGATACTGGTGATAAATATAGACACAGAGCAGCTGTGAGGGGGTTGGGCACTGAACTATAGGACTGTCTGTCTGTAGCTGTCTGTCTGTCTGTCTGTCTCTCTCTCTCTCTCTCTCTCTCTCTCTCCCCCCCTCCCCTCCCTTTCTCCCTCTCCCTCCCTCTCCTTCCCCCTCTCCCCTCCTTCCCCCTTCCCTCCCTTCCCTTCCCTTCCCCCTCTCCTCCATTCCCCTCCCCTCCCTTTCTCCCTGTCCCTCTCATATTTACCACATACAGCAGCATCTGCACACCCACCAGCTCACTAGACACCTATCAGTCCCATAAAGCAAGCATTAGGATCTCTACACACAGACACAGTAGGCCACAGAATAGGACGTTCTCACAGCCACCTGGAACTCTGTGAGGCATGGTGGGTCCGATAAGGCTTGGGCATGAGATCACAGTTTCTTCTCCTTTAGCCTCACCCAGCCCTGCTTGCCCAGGAATTCCAGAGCTCCTTTAACTGCCTCACTGGAAGGGGAAACTCTGCCTGGGGCCAGGATGCTGGTGGTCAGGTACAGGGTGCACTTACAGCCAGTCAGTTCCAAGGCCCACATCCCACTTCATTTTGCTACAACCTTGGGGCTGAATTTAAGATTTTCAAAAGTGAAGACATCAGGAAAGAATGTGATCTTCTCCTGGGAAGACGTCCAGGATAGAGCTCCCCCCATCATCACGTCTATTGAGTGAAGTAGTGCAGCCGTGCATTGGTTACCCAGTTCAGATGGGCTGTCTGCCTTCTGTGCCTGCAGGCTGCGACATCCCAGGGCCAAAGGTGGGGCAGGGTGTCTGCAAGGGCTCTTGCCTCAGGAATGGAAGTGAGCACATCAGGGTTCCAGGACCATCTAACAGAGATAGTCAGCAAAGAGAGAAGAGACAACGCCAGAGAGACTCAAGAGAGATCTCTTGGTCTTTCTTGGCAGTTTTCACTCTTCAAGCCTTACTGTTCTTTGAAATGAGTGCCCAAAGGAAATCTGGCTTATTCACAAGACAGGAACTCTGAGAGACGAGGAGGGAAGAACACGAGACCAGAGTCTGCCTTGGCACTGAGCCCAAGAGCACTATGAAGGATTCATTTTGTTTTAGAACCCTATGAGCTTGTAGGGAAGGTAATGAAAGAATGCCCTGCTTTAAAAGTAACCCTTGAAATGTTTAAACTCTAGAAACAGGGTGGGCAGCAGGGTGTGGTGGAAAGACAAAGGTCTCTAGCACCAATGAATGGCCGTGTCAAATTTCCTTCCAGTTACTGTCCTGGTGACTTTGCCCAGAGGCGGGAAATATCCCGAGTCTCAGCCTCTGTCTGCAGAGGGGGATTACACACCTAGCCACAGGACATGAGCAACCTGGCCACTGTTTTCAATAAGTATGTCACCAGAGGAGGCACGTTCATTCTCCTTGACAAGGGCGTGGCCATCTTTGCTGTGCATTCTAATAGCCTAACTAGAGGACTCTTTCGAGGTATTTTCTGAGTCACAAACCACAGCATCTCTTTTTAAATTCTGTTTTATATATGTAAGATAAGCAAGACCACACTAGCAATGAACGCCGCCGAGGAGGCACCACTTCGAGGTCACCATGTAATCCTGGCATTTCATTCGATGGGTCCCCGTCTTTCTGTATCCTCCAAAGAGTCACCCTGGCCCAGACCCTTCAAGTGTGGGTGTCCTCTAAACGCCGCAGCGCGCCGCTGTGGCCCAGCCCTGTGATGCCCCTTCCACGACTTCCGCACTGGTCTCCTCATCAGCTGCATCCTGTGCTTCGATAAGGCGGACTCCCAGCTGCAGGTTGCCCAGGCCTCTCCCAGAGACACCACCAGCCTCTCGGACCCAGTTCTATCAGCTGCAAGGCAGAGTTTAGTGCCATTTTCAGATGCGAAGTGAACGTGCACACATTTGGACTCTAGAAAATATCATTGAAATGCCAGCTGTTTGTATCCTACTAAGAATTTTTTAAAAGTTTTTTGAGGAAAGTCAGTAAAAAGAGTGACAAAAACACTAGAGTTTCCTCTGATGTTGCTAATATCGCCTTCAGCGAGAAGACAAAACTTAAGTATTCATGGGAAAAGACAAAGGGAGGGGTCAAGAAAGGAGAAAACCAAAGGAAATGAGAGGAAAGGAGATGCACGTGTGCACAGACCCAGGGGCAGGGGTCTCAGCAGGTGAGCCCCAATACCCAGGGCAATGTCATAGGAGCTGGGGCTTTCAGGAAGCAAGATCAGTTCCCTCACGAAATGGGCTACAGGGAGCTTGTTTGCCCTTCCTGCCACATGAGGACACAGCAATGAGTTACCATCTATGAAGCAGAAAGCCAGGATCCAGTACTAACTCCTCCCGACCTTTGTTTTGGACTTCCCAGTCTCAAGAGCTACAAGCAACAAATTTCCATTATTTGCAAATTGCCTAGTCTAAGGTATTTTGTTCTAGCAACAGTGATGAAAAAAGCCACTTCCCCTCCCACACCTCAGCTCTGTCCGCATGAAGGGACAATGCAAGAACTAAAGCACTGCTAGCCAAGGGTCTGGAAGTGCTGTGCTGAGGAAATCCCAAGCAGGCGGCAGGTCCTGCCGCTCTGAATCGGCTTTCTAAGTTTTTATATTTCACATATAGAAAGGAAATCCATATTCAGGCTGTTAATAGAAGGACAATAAAGTGTATATGGAACTCACTGCAGAAGAAATCCAGGGCTCCCAGAAGTCCCTTCCTAGTTTTTTGTTAGAAGTTGTGACCCTAAATTGGGCTTGATTCCGAGTCAGGCTCTGACTTCTCTACCATGGCTCCCTTCCCTCCCTCACATACAAACACACTGTCTCCATGTGCCCGTCTGGACCCCAAGGGAGGGCAGCATCTGGCAGGAAATTACCCCCAACCCCACCCACACACACCAGCTGTTCAGGGTCATACTGTTACCTCACTGGGCAACATATAAGCAAACAGCTATTCCTTTTGCTTTCTCAGCCAACTACCGACACTTATTTCTAAACGTTGACGAGGTCACTGCCTTTCTAGAGATGCTGTACTCACCTTTTTCTTCATCATTCTGGTACAAGGCACAGCAGGTACTTTAGGTGGAGTCTTGGTAATACTCTGATCAATGATGCTCAGAGTGTGATCCCTGGGCCAACACTGTCAGCATTACTTGGAGCCTTGTTATAGAAACCACTTTCATGGCCTCCTGAGGACTTACTGATTGAGACACGCTAGGAAGGTCCACCAAATGATCTGCATGCTGGCTCAAGTCTGAAAACTTCTCAGCACAGACAGGTAAGAGCTGGGGAGCTGGTAAGCAAAAGCTCAAATCCTGACTCTGCTACACAGAGAAGGAAAGTCATTAGTTCCTGATCCCTCTACTTACTACCTAAAAAATGAGTTTTGAGGTTGGCACAGCATGTTTGGGGTTCCAGGGCCCACAAGATCAAGGCACAGGCATGTGGCACTGGAGATCAAACTCGGGTCCTTGTGCCTGCCAGGCAGGCACTTAGACCACTGGGCTATCTCCCCAGGCCCAAAATGAGTCTTATATGCCTTTGACATAGATATACACTGGAAATTGATTTGTGCTTCCTTGCAGTCCCCTCCACGTTGTGACTGGTTCTTCTCTTCCTTCAGGACATCCTGGGCTGAGATTGAGCAGAGTACAACTGTACACTATTTCACTGTACAGTAAACTCAGCAACACAACTGTGACAACGTTCAGCAGACACCTGAGCTACTTCTGTACTTTGTTCACATCTATGAATATTTGTAATGTGAAGTCCATTCATATCTGTGAAAGTCTCAAGTCAAATATCATTAAGTCAGGGGCTTAGTGTATCTGCTTCAAAAACTTAATAGTATGCATACAAATCCTTCCAGGTAGAAGTGCTCACAAATACTAGGTACTGTTACTGTTCTTAGACACTGTATGAATTATTTCAGATGAACTGGGAAGGGAAAGGACTTTTTCACCTTTCCAGCTGGACCATACTAAGAACACTCACTGGGCTTCCTGAGGCCCTGGGAGCTGCAGAAATCCTCCTGGGGTGGAGAATGGGAACCAGCCGTGAGACTGCTGACATTTTGCAGCTGCTGGGAGCCTCGGGGCATAAGACTTCATTAATTCTGAGAACATAGAAGATACCATTTACTGTGTAAAAATGGCACAGTAATTCTGGTGCCATGGTCAATATACTAAAATGTATGAGTAATTTTTATAAATATAAGTCATTTATTTTCATTAGCTCATTTGCAGCAATCCTTGGAGGCAAGTATTAGTGCATTTGCCAATTTACAGATGAGAAAACCCAAGTTCTAGGGGTTAAGTAATGATTCACTGTCACTGCCACTAAAGGCACAAGACACTCTGTGTTGAGTCTACGCTTTTCCCCTCTTTGGACCTCTTAGTTCAGATATCTGCCATCAACTCTTCTCATAAGTGCTTTCAGTCTCCTGTGTTTAGTTCTTGGTCTTCTGATTGGTCCTTATACTTGTCAGGAAACTGGATGCCAGACAAAGGGAGAAACAAGTATAGTCTTGCTAATTCCAGCTCTACAGACACCTGCTGTGAGATCAGGTCATTCTAGACTTCTCCAAGGTGTCTTTCAGAACCATGGACAGAGCATTGGGCTCCTTTGTTTACTATTTTGCTTCCTGGCACATTCAAAGCTAAGCTAATCCCCTCCTTAAATCCTTTACTTATTGTAAAAGAATAGAAGGCACTCAAAGTTATCCACCTTGAGCACCATGAATAATGCACATAAACACACGGACAAAAGATGGGAGCAGCGGTGTTGATGAAGCCAGCCATGAGCAAAGACAGGACCCAGAGTTACAGGCAAATGGCATGAGTATGTCCTGGGTGTTTAAGACATATAACCACAGGCATTTAATCTGTATGTCCTTGCTCAGAGGGTCTACAATGCTGGCTTTTCAGAAAATAACTTGATTCCTACAAGGAACATGGTTTTTGAGAGACTAAAATTCCCCAAGACAAGCATTAGTTTCATACAAACAGGGGATGGTAGTGGCCAGCACACTGGTGAAGAGTGAAAGATCATTCCTCTGGTGTCCGGTCTTGTCTGTATCGGGTAGGCCCAGTCTGAACCCCAGTGCTCACCAGCGTATGAACCTGTACGTGACCCAGCCCCCGCCATGAGGCTTAGGAGGCTGACATTCAGAAACCGAGTATCTGGAACATGTTAGGAGCTCACGCTAGGGCAGCTGACATAGTTCATTCTGCTATGTGGCATCTTCTTTTCAAACAAAGGTACCAGATCATTCTAGATGAAATCACTAGCAGTAACCACTGCTAATACCTCACCCAATGCTTTCCAAGAGAAGCAGCAAATCAAAAGGGTGTCACTGTTCCTTACTAGGATTTGTATGTTTTTCCTGTAGCAGAAACCACGTGTCTTGATATATCCAGGCTGCTATAAGAAACGCCTCACAATGGGGAACCTACATGGGTAGAAATGCCCTTCTCACAGTTCTGGAGGCTGAAAGTCCAAGATCAAGTCATAGGAAGAGTGAGTGTCAGGAAAAGGCTGTGTCCTGGCTCAGAGACACCTGCTCACTGTGTCCTCTCATGGATCAGGGGTGAGACCATCTCTCTCGAGGTCATTTCAAGCCTCTTTTCATGGGGTACTAGACCCACTCTGAAGGGCTCCAACTTTCCCACACCCTCACCTCCTCACTCAATCACCAAGGCAGTACGAGTCTAGCATATGAAATCTGAGGGGACGCAACCACTCAGCCCATAATGCTGCTGATGCGGGTATGTATCTTGTGGGTAACTGAGCTCCTTCTTGGTCCTTGCTCTGAAAGGGAAGCTCTGGGGAGAGAATGCACACAGAGCAAAGCTCCTCTTTTTTTTTCCCCTCACTCAGCACTGTAGCCTGATTCTACCTTCAAGAACCCAATATAGCTCCCCACTTCAAACAGGGCCTGCCTCTTCCAGACCCTGAGGGAGCTTCCTGGCTCAAGGGGAAAAGGCCCACTCTTAGCATGTGGATGACCCAGAGGCATCTCTCCTACTGGAATCAGAGCAGTCATTATGAGGGTGGGGCTGTCATGGCAGAATCCCCCTTAATGAGAAGTAGGGCTGGGCGGGAGCATCGCCACCACCTTACAGCACTCAAAATGACTTTGTCCTAATGCCTTTCATCCCCATCTCTTCCTGCTCCATACCCTTTACTCCCAGGAGCTCATGCTAAGGTCAGCGTGCTTCAGAATTAGGCTCCCGTCCTTCACTCCCCCTCAGCTCCTAAACAAGGTGCCTGGTCCCTAACAGGTGCTTGTTATTCTAATGGTTTCCCAGGAGGTGTGTTGGGGGGAGGTGGGACAGGAAGCCACTAACCATCAGGAGTAAAATTTCAGCAAAGCAGGATAAATTCTAGAGAGGGGCCCAGGAGCCTCATGCCTGTAGTCACAGCAGTGTGTTGCCCCCAGCCTTTGGCAGGAGGGGGATGCATATGTAGAGCTCTTGCCACAACAAAAGAAAACTAAGAAAATAAACATTTAAACAAGAAAGTGGCTGCTGCCTTTTGGGCATCTGGGCTCCAGGTGTTCTGCTTTTACACCACACAGAAGTCCCAGCAGGTGGCAGCTATCAGCCTCACTTTTACTTACCAGGAGATTGAAGCTGGAAAACAATCCCAGATCAAGAGGATGTGGTGGGGGGCGGGGGGGCAGGTCACCAAGCTGCCTGCCTGGCACACAGCTGTGCCAAGGCATGCTCCCCCACACACCACCGAGAAGTCTGGAGCAGGCTCACTGGAACCAAGCCTTGCGAGCCAGGAAGCGTAAGGAAAGAAAGAACCCTTCTTTTACAACATTGTCACCCACAGACGTACACAGTGATTGACAATGGAATAAGGATGTGTCTCCAGCATTATTTATTTATTTATTTATTTATTTTTTCAGAACTGGGGATTGAACTCAGGCCCTTGTGCTTGTCAGGCAAGCACTTATTCTACTGAGCCATCTCCCCGGCCCCTCCAGCATTAATGTTAAATTGATAACTATCTCTTCATCTCTTGCTCTCCTTCCCTTTCTGCCTCTTCTCATTTTCTCTCTTATTCTTTCATACACACACACACACACACACACACACACACGCCCATGCATGCGTACCCCTAGAGACATACTGTACATACCTTTTGCGATGTGTTTTAAAGTAACAAAATGCTGTCTGTATATTCTAAGTCATTAACTAATCTCTTAATTAAAAGAATTGTACTGCCAAGTGCTGTGGCATTGTGCAGTTGTGCAGTACATTATGGACTCCACCACTTTCCAGTGCATAGCATTATTTCTAGTTTCACTTATAAATTATTCACATTTATGTCTGCTTCTATGCTCACTTATAAAATTCACATGGATACATAATTGTGCGTATCCAGACATGTTTCCTTACAAAGTAAACCCAGATGTGAAAGACTTACTAAAAAAGTCCTTACAGAGAGAGGATGGCTGATTTCTCTGCCATTTCATGGAGAGCATCAGGAAACACACAGGGGGCAGTGCTACAGTCTGAGACACAAGCCACATGACTCTGATGAAATCAGTGACATTTGTGTGCACTAAGTTGGGTGGGAGTATTTTTTTAATGTAGTTTTAGCAAGTGAACAGCAGCATTTGAAGAAGTGCCCCTTTGTTTTATATCTCTCTTATGAGGCTCACTTCTTGAGAAGGATTTCCCACATTTCCCAGAATCCATTACACTGTGCATGTTACACTGATGGGGAAACAAGCAATTTTTGTAGTCAGAACCATTTAGTTCTCCACCCATTCAGTCCTTCTTTCACCAACAGTTCCAGCCTCCCTTGTACTCTGCAGTAATCTGGTGACTTCAGCGAATTCCTCCTCGAAGATCAGCCTGGCACTAGCTGCCTGAACATCCTCAAAGGGCCAGCCAAGGAAATGCTTTCAGTGGCTCCTGCTGAAGCACGTGAAGCCTGAACACATTTCCCATTTGCTTTCCTGTGAGGTGGTCTTCGAACCACCTCTCTAGCTTATTTCCCACCCATTCTGTGCTATTAAGTACCCTGAATGCTAACTATGGTGAACTGGCCACACAGTACTCAGAATTCTCCTCCACAGCCACTCCCGCTCTTCCCACCTACTACATGGGATGCTCCCAAAGTCCCCTTCCCTGGGCATAGCTCAAGTGGCAACCTCTCCAGCATGTATCCCATGAACCCCCACCATCAGCTGGACCATGCTCTTCCCTCTTCTAGCTGCTTCCTTTCTCCACCTCTTCTTCCTGCAAAGCACTGCACATACATCAGCCACTGAGTGTGGAAGGTCAAATACCAGGACTAGGGGGACCTTTTCTCACTGCAGACATTTGTGCCAGCGAGCAAGATGGGTGCACACACCTCTTACAAACTGTCGCCCCCATCCTGTCCCTTGCAGGAGAACAGTAAAGCAAGGTGCTTACCTTCTCTCCTTGGACAAAAGATCCTCTGCCCTAGGTAAAAGAAAGAAGAAGACAAAAGGTTACTACGGAGCATCTCCAGGGCATGACACCCCCGACACCCAAATCACCAGCTCTGCCCAAAGCCTCTAAAGGACATCACTATCATTTACCAAATGTGGATCCCCCTGAGAGTTATTTCATTTAATTTTTCTAATATTTCAATATTGCAGTTACGATTGTTTGTTTTCTTAACATCTTAATTAGGGTATAATTTGTAAACCTTATATTTAAGGTGTCTAATTCATAATGTTAATATATTCATAAAGTTGCATAACAATCACCAAAATCAACTTTAAAACACTCTTATCACCTCAAAAAATCCTGTAGCCAATAGTAGTCATGCACCATTCCTTTGTTCTCAGGCCTATCCAACAGGAATCTGCTTCCCACCCTACAACTTTTTATAAATGGAGGCATACAATAATTGCCTTTATGACAGGCTTCTTTCACTTGGCAAAGTCTTGTCAAGGTCTATCTAGGCTGCACCATGTCACAAAACTTCTTTCCACTGCAGACTGAACTGACAATGGATGACATTATGGCTTGTGTCTAGGTGTCCCCCCAAAGCCTCACAGTCTTGGGGTGGCTTCTGGAGCTCGCTATTGATTATTGTGGGTATGAATGCTGCACCTGCCCTGGGGCAGGTAATTTGCATTTCAATGTAAGGAGGGAAGAGAAGCTAGCTGCCTGAGCTGCTGCTACCCCTCCCCTTGCTCTTGCTCTTTGCCTTTGCCATGAAAGGCTGCTTTCTGCTATGTGCTGCTCTGCCTTGGACCCAGATGAGTATGGACTGAAACCTCCAGTAACTGTGAGCTAAATAAACCTTTCCTTCTTTCATTTTGAGTGTCAGGTATTTGTCCCAGCAACAAGAGCACAGTAAGACAAATGGATGCAGAGCATTTCATTTACCCATCCTCGAGGAGATAGACATTGGTGTGCTTCTATTTTGGACTATCAGACCCAGCACAGCTATGAACATTGGTGTACAATGCTCATGTTGTGTAGCCCTACGCATACATTTTGGGATTGCAGACTTAGGAGCACAATTAAATTGCTAGGCCACACAGAACACTGCACCTCTGCACACCAGCAAGGCCTGCTGGGTCCTACTTCTGGGTTTGCCTGGTGGGCCCATCCTTTATGGAAGGCAAAAAATTCAAATCTCTGGATATCTCTGCTGAGTCAGTCGTTTCACCCGTGGATTTTGTCAGCTATGCGTAATGTATTTGGGGTCTTCTGGCCAATGCTTATCTATTCATCACTGTTATGTATTCTTAAAGGTTTGATCATTTTATCCTTATAAGTTGTGCCTTTTTGCCATTTTTATTATAATATTTATTTATTTATTTTACTGGGAATCAAACTCACAAGGTCTCACTTGCCAGCCTGGTGCTGTGACCCTGAGCTAAATCCCTGTCCCTTATAATCTGTTTTATCTGACATTAATCACGCCATAATTTTTGAATATTGTGCACTTCCAAAACATGTATTTTCCAAGCTTCTTACACCTATTTATATATTTTTTTCTAGTAGTGCGGATGGAACCCAAAGCATTACATGTGCTTGGCAATGTCTCGACTGCTGTGTTACATCCCCAGTACCTTATTCTAGCTCTAAATGTGAAGTGTGTCTCCTTTAGACAGGACATGAGTTGGATCCAGTTTCATATCCGGCCTGAAAATCTCTGTATTTTTATTTCTTTATTTAATATATTCATACAAAATATCACACACACACTCACACACACACACACACACACACACACACACAATTTTACTTTTTGTTCCCTATGTTTCCTGTTTCCTTGTTTGCTCTTTTACTTTTCCTCTCCAACTGTCTTTTGGATGAAGCAAGTATTTCCTGGTGCAACATTTTTATTTTCTCAATGATATTTTCAGTACACAATTTGAGTTATTGTCGTCAAAATTGCTCGAGGTTTTACATACATCTTAGCTTGCCATAACCTACCTGACTTACTAGAAAATACTCTTCTGGTGTGAAATGCACACACAGTCCTTCTTCACTCTGTGTCCTTCCCCTGCTCCAGGGGCTTCTGCTGCCCACACCTTATGTGCATGTTGGTTAAACACCCAGCACACCTTGCACCCTGACAGCGCTGACTTTGAACAAACCCTTTCACTGCTTTTTGGCCTCAGTTGTTGCTGATGACTCGATAGTTATTAACCTTATGGGGTTTCCTTGTTTTGTTTTGTTTTGTTTTGCTTTGCTTTTTTCTTTTTCTTTT